ACTGTTAGCTTTGCAAAAATGGTTTAAATGACACTTAAACCAATGTTATGTCAAATTACCTTGATGAAAACAATACGCAGCCTTCCAGAAAAACTTTTTCTCTGTGAGTTCCTTGAATTGTTTCTTCCCATTAGCGTATATATGTCTCGCACACATTCGATGTTCACAACGTGGTAATTCTACGTCAATGACATTAATCAAACCCTAAAAAACCATAATTAACCATCAACGTATAAGTGCCTTGCACAATTACATATTCACAATAATTAGAAATGGAAAACAAGGTACCTTTTGCTTGTCAGAATATAATGTGATGCCTTCTCCTTATCCTAAACATAAATCTGTTTTTATTTTTCTAATAAACCAACCCCACGTGTCTTTATTCTCAACTCGAACAACAACCCATGCGTGGGGTAAATTCGATTATCAGCATCCCGACCAATGGCAGCAAGAAGTTCCCCTTTCAATGCCCACTTCAAGAAACAACCATCCAATCCTATAATCGGACGACAACATTTTTTCCACGTTTCAAGCAGTACCTCGAAACAAACATAAAATCGATCAAACAATCCATCTTCTGTACCAACTTCAATGGTTGTGTTCGGATTAGATCTATGAAGTTCTGCCTCATAATCCAATAACTTAGCGAATTGAGCCCCCTGATCTTGAACCAGTGTCCTTAAAGCAATTCTGCGGGCTTTGAAGCACTGAACACGAGAGACTATCACCTGGTGCCGCCCCATAACCTGATCTTGTATTTCTTTAGCTGAAAAAGATGGCTTTCTCCTGAGATCTTCTGCGAAAAGTTGCGCTATACGTGTTGAAGTCAACAACTCAATATGACTCCTCTTCGGGTGGTTGTGGTTATCATGGAATATCTTGATCAACCACTTGTTCGAAGCAACGTGCACAGAACAATAGATTCTCCATGAACAATCTGTTTCTGCGCAATGCACTGAATATCTTGTGCTTTCACACTTCCGTTGCTTCGAACAAGTGGTTGATCAAGATATTCCATGATAACCACAACCACCCGAAGAGGAGTCATATTGAGTTGTTGACTTCAACACGTATAGCGCAACTTTTCGCAGAAGATCTCAGGAGAAAGCCATCTCTTTCAGCTGAAGAAATACAAGATCAGGTTATGAAGCGACACCAGGTTATCAGTCTCTCGTGTTCAGTGCTTCAAAGCCCGCAGAATTGCTTTAAGGACACTGGTTCAAGATCAGGGGGCTCAATTCGCTAAGTTATTGGATTATGAGGCAGAACTTCATAGATCTAATCCGAACACAACCACTGAAGTTGGTACAGAAGATGGATTGTTTGATCGATTTTATGTTTGTTTCGAGGTACTGCATGAAACGTGGAAAAAATGTTGTCGTCCGATTATAGGATTGGATGGTTGTTTCTTGAAGTGGGCATTGAAAGGAGAACTTCTTGCTGCCATTGGTCGGGATGCTGATAATCGAATTTACCCCATCGCATGGGCTGTTGTTGGAGTTGAGAATAAAGACACGTGGGGTTGGTTTATTAGAAAAATAAAAACAGATTTATGTTTAGGAGAAGGAGAATGCATCACATTACATTCTGATAAGCAAAAGGTACTTTGTTTTCCATTTCTAATTATTGTGAATATGTAATTGTGCAAGGCACTTATACATTGATGGTTAATTATGGTTTTTTAGGGTTTGATTAATGCCATTGAAGTAGAATTACCACTGTGTGAACATCGAATGTGTGCGAGGAATATATACGCTAATTGGAAGAAACAATTCAAGGAACTCACAGAGAAAAAGTTTTTCTGGAAGGCTGCGTATTGTTTTCATCAAGGTAATTTGACATAACATTGGTTTAAGTGTCATTTAAACCATTTTTGCAAAGCTAACAGTAGTTTTCATGAAGGTGAATTTGGTGAATACATGGACGGGTTGAAACGTTTTAATCCAGCAGCATATGAGCATTGATTTCTACTAATCCGAAGCATTGGTCTCGAGCATTCTTCCAGGAAGCGGCAAAATGTGGAGATATTAACAACAACTTAAACGAGAGTTTCAACAGTTCAATCAAAGATGCTCGACTTCGTCCAGTAGTAGACATGCTTGAGGATATTCGGAGAAAAGCCATGGGACGGATTGCAAAAAGGTTGAGAGATGCTAATAAATGTGTAACACAGTTTACTCCTCATGCCATGGAGGAATTAGAGAAATCTCGGAAGAAAAGTGGGTATTGCATGGTCATTCCCAGCGGACATGGGAAATACGAGGTTATGAATCTCGGTACAAGTTATTCCATCGACCTTGGCATGAAGAGTTGTGTGTGTCGAGAATGTGATGTAACCGGGATCCCATGTTGTCATGCTTTATCTGTCATCAATAAAAAACGAGAGAGTTTATCGGCGTAAGTCAATATTTTACAGGTATGTATTATCAATACAAATTATGGTTTAGTTGTTTACTAATGACAAAATTTTTCTGCAGGTATGTGTCCGATTACTTTTCAAAGGAAAAATGGATAGCGACATACGAGCATAATATTATACCCGTGAATGGAGAAAAATTATGGAGAAAGACAAAAAAAAAACTCCAGTTGGTGTACCCAATACGAGAACAATGTCGGGTTGCCCTAGAAAGTTCAATCGGACAAAGGATCCACATGAGCCTCCCCCGAAGAATGGTCGTATCTCACGTCACGGAAGAAAAATGACATGTACTCGCTGTCAACAGGTTGGACACAATGTAAGGTCATGTAAGAAATGAACTATTTCGAATGCAGGGTCCAACACGAGGGAGAGGTCGTCCGAGAAAATCACAGGTACGAAATCTGTATTTTTTTCTGGTTTTATTGATCGGTTGTGATGAATATCTTGTGATTAGTTGGTAGGTGAAATAGTCAGCTGCCACCATCAAAAAAGAAGAAATCTACACGTATAATGTCGGAAAATGCTCAAAGTAGTGCTAACTCAGTAGCTGATGGTATAAAACTTCACAACCTGATGCACTAGAGTTCCTGATATTTCTTTACATCCTAATGTTGTTTATTTTCTGTTATGCAGGTTCTTCCAGTCCAACGCAATCAAGTCAAACATTACAATCAGTATTTCCTCATTATCAGAGAACAACTTCATCGCTTCCGCATAGAATTTTCATTGCACCACGTACGGGTCGAAAGTTTCAGATTCCAAGACAACAAAAGCCAAACTAAATATGTACTAAGTGGGATGTTTTGGATAGTGTTTTGGAAGAAATTTTTTGGATGATGTCTTGGATGGAATTTTTTGGATGATCTCTTGGATGTAATGTTTTGGAACAACAAAAATCATGTTTTTCTTCCATATGATATATTGGATGTAATGGATTAACATGTTATGTTTGTAAATCTCATCAGGTTTATTATACGTTGTAAAATATATCATGTACACTATATGAATACAATAGAACACATAAATATATAATCCGATTACGATTATAAGATCCGATTACAAATTCTACCAACGATAGTAAAATCCGATTACAAGTTCTACCAACTTTTTCTAAACATAGGATAGTCCATAATAACGGGCAAATACTATAATTACAACCATGACAACTGCACCAAACATATATTCAATATTATTGTATTTACCCATCTTAAGATTCAACTTTTCGATCTCCACATTCATCTTCTCTAACTTAACATTCATCTTCTCCATCTTCACATCCATCATCTTCTCCATCTTAACATCCATCATTTTCTCTCTCTTAACATCCATCTTCTCCATCTTCACTTCATATAACTCACCACAGATACCATTCAACTCTTCAATTAACGCATCGTCGAGCCATTTAAAAAAATGGGAACCATTCCTCTGAAACATAAAACAACACAAACATAAAGATCATTCTCATTATGGAAAGAAAATATACTCACATCACATACCTCTTGCGAATCACAAGAAAATAATAGTCTTTCCGGATTTTTGTCTGTTCTCGATGTTTTCCTCGAAATATGTCCTCCACATCCACATTGAAATCGTAATCCACTGTTTTCCCGAGTTGATCGAACATTCGAAATTGAAGACTCTCCTTCGTAACTCATCTTTTCATTTTGAATCTGTTATATAAACATGTTCGGCATTCTTCAAACATAATCCAAAAACATAAGCCTCAAATTGATGAAATCTAACACATTTCTAAAACGATATTCAAATTTGTTGAACCCAAACACAATACACCAAAATTTTCCAAATATAACAAATTAACCACAAAATCTCATAACTTTTCAGTCCTAAAACAATATTACATATATGAAATTTCCTAAATTCGACATATTTCAAGCCCAACACAAAACCCTAAAACCCCAAATTTCGGTTATTACCTCTTGTCTTCACTTTGGAGAACGTACAACTGATAGAATCACAGACGAGTCGAACGAGATGGAATCGATGCGAGTTGTAGTCGAAATCTGCTCAAAACAACGACCATGAAGATTGAAGAAATCCCTAGAGCTCCTCTCTCTCTCTCTATCGTGTCTGTGGAAAGAAGATGAACTAGTTCAGACCAAGCAAAGGCATTTAATAAATGAGTTATAATGATGTGGCAAACTTAATCCTACGTGGACTTCGTTCTGTAGTTCCGTTTGAGCCACATCGGCTTTTCCGTTTCCACCATCACCGATATCACGACGCCGGGGTTTATGGGTTACTAATTAAAAAGTACGGGGTTTTTTCCGTAATTTCCAAAGTACAGGGTTTTTTCGTTAACCTGGGAAAAGTACAGGGTTTTTTTGGCGATTACCCCTTAAATATTTACCAACTCTGAGCTCTTTAAGCAACACTCGTCTCAAGTTTCGGCAGTTTTAAAGAGTCTGATGATCTTGGTAGTATATGTACCTATGTATAGCTTCCAGTAGCAACTTTGCTCTATAAAATAGCGTAAAAGTGATATTAAATTTACTATTAGCTAATACTAGGTAATAAGTAATAACCCGCGCGAATCGTGCAGATTTAATATTACGAATTTAAATAATTTTTTATTTTTAAAATTAAATATAATAAATTTTGTTTTTAAATTTATAATTTAAATTATTCTATTAAAATAATTTTTTTGTCAAAGTGTGAAAATAATAAGATGATAAGGATGGATCTAAATATAATAGTATGGGGTATTACATCCCACTCTATAATTAATAAAATATAATTTATTCATAAATTTTATAAAATTTGTAGATATCCGTAATACTTTTACCACTATTTTTTTTCTTTATATGTTTCTCTTATCATTTTTTATATTTTATTGATCGTTTTTATTTTTAATTCTTTATTTTTAATTTAGGTAATAATCTACATGTATCGTGTAGACTTAAAATCTCAAATCTCAAAATGTTTAACAATTTTCTATACCATCTTCAATGACGTTAAATTTTGGTGAATTGCGATAAGTAAATATATGATATGCTGGGCATATAATTAAAATTTACTAAGTGAAGATGCCACGTCACTAAACTAAAATTGAATATTTTTTCGGTTCATATTAAATTAATTGGCTTGGTTAATTTTGTAATGATTTTATGATGATTTTGAGTTGTAATATGATATGAAACACTTGACATTTATATTGTATTTAATTAGTTAATATGATTGTGGCAAAAAATTAAGATCAGTTGTTTGAGTTGAACTAAGTATAAATAGAAAACTTTAATAATATAAAAACTTTGTTATATTTTTTTGTAAGTAGAATTAAATCAATGACATAATATCGTTATTACTGTATAAATATTTTATCATTTCAGTATAACCGATTTATTATGGTTGTCTTTGGTACTGGTGTGACCTTTTTCAATGCCTGCCAAAAATTCAAGTTATGAGGTAATAATAAAAATAATTTTGGTAAATATTATAAATAAAGATATTTTTCAAAAATAATATAATTTATTTACCTTAAATGGAAATTTTTGATAATGTTCAATTTTTCATCTATGTAAATCTTTGTAGACGTTGATGTGTTGAGTGTTAGAACACCTAATACATAAAATATATTAGTAAACTCAATATAATAATAATAATGGTTTTTAAATATTAATCTATCAAATATTTAGAAATTAATTTGTGTTAAATAATTACCGTGAATAATCTTTGGATTTACACCCGTAACGACTGCGATACTTTTTCTGACATTCAATCTATGAATTTGTGAATGGAGTTCTGCAGCGAGATCATCCCATACAGAAAGCTTGACGATATTGTTGCTGGTTTTTAAATTGAAATTATATGTTAGTTTGTATAAAATTAATTTAGTTAAAATTTTATAAAATGATAATTTTTGCAGTGTAAATAGAATTTGAAAACTTACTCTTCCAATAATAAACGAAGAATAATTTTCTGAGTTGATGACGACATTCGTAAATTTGATCCTTGTATTGCGACTAAAACTCCAATAATATCTGCAACATTAAAGAATATATTAATTATATAATCTAATATTTTCTTTTTGGTTTTTTTATATTATCACATACCTAGTAGATCGTGTTTTTTGTTTGTCAATGTCAACAAATCGTCATATAAACATATTCGAATTTTGTTTTGGCAATATTATAAGTAGTTACAACAACTTTTTCAATAATAGTATCATCTGTAAAATAAATACGAAATTTACTGTTCGTCAATTTGTATATATTTTTATTTGGTAGAATCTTAAAATGTCTGACTAAAAATATATCTCTCTCATTTATTATATTTTTAAAATTTTCTGCATGATCCTAACATATTTTTCCTTCAACAACATTCTCCTGCAACGTTATAAGTAGAAAAGATTAGATTTGTAATAAACATAGTATAAGAAAATCAATGTTAATTAAAAACGTACATTTTTATCAATTAATAAGAATCCGATGCCATTGAACCTATTCCCATTGAAAGGATTTTGTCCATCCCATATTCGTAGAAATCTGATTGTAATATACCGATAATTATGATGTTTACTCATCTGATCCAATCTTACATGGGTTGATATCACTGGATGCATCTGATTTTTAGATTCCTACAATAAATTTTATTTGATCAATAACAATATTATTTGTCATATAGTATATTTATTCATTATTTTTATATGAATAAGGCAATCGTTGAACGGAATAATATATGTATTTACACACAAAAATCGGTGGGATATCATATTTAAAAATATAAAAAATATGATTAGCACATAAATATTATATTTTATATAAATTAATAAAAATTTAACAAAATGCAACATAAGTGATATTTAGGTTGATCCACCAAATTGTTCTAAATAAAATTTTTATATATATAGATGTGGAGAATAATAACTATATAATCCATGATTCATTGTTAGTAAACTTAAATCAAAAAATAAAATTATATATATATATAAAACAAACATGTTAAACAAAAGTCAGTAAACAAAAACATTTTTTTAACTTCTATATATAAACATATATAATATATACTGATATAAATATAAAAAAATTAAATATATGTTTTGGTACCAATGAAATCCTTTCTAATGAAATATGAACACGAAACCAGGCAAAGACGAAGAAAAAGAAAACCTAAATGAAAGGTTTAAGGGGAAAACGAGTAATGAAGAAGTGGGCTTGACATTCTACAAACGGTGGACTTGGGACATGAAGTGGAAAAACAAGTATAATAAAATAAACTTTACGTAACAAACCATGTACGGAAACATGACAAATGGGTTTAAGGGGAAAACATCATATCAGAAAATTCTCTTTTCTTCATCTTCTTCGTTCTTCACTTTATTTTGAAATACTTGATCTGGAAATCAAACATCAAATCTTTTTATTTTAGTAACAGGTAAACTAGACAGCAAGAGACTGTCGAAATGAAACAGCACAAAGCTAGCTATCTGTTGAGAGGTGGGCAAATATTTTAGATGGAGAACTTAGAAAAACTTAGATGAGAGGAAGTGGAGAGGAGAACACTTCAAAAACTTTTTTTTTTGTTCTTGCTTTTAACTGGATGAAAAATGACATAACTTATACTCCTATTTATACTACATGTAGGAAGATTCTACACACTATGATTAATTACAAATAGTAATTATCACTTATTTATTTTAATTTGACTCACCTAGAATTCAACAAATTCTAGAATAAACAAGATTAGTCTTCAATGCGCCCTCCTAAGCTTGATTCCCGCATGCCAAGCTTGTGGCGTAGCTTCTCGAATACCTCCCTCTTCAAGGGCTTCGTGAAAATGTCAGCAACCTGTTCTTCTGTCTTCAACTTTACTTGAACTTCCTTCTTTGCAATGCACTCCCGAATGAAATGAAACCTTGTATCAATATGCTTACTCCGATCATGATACACCGGATTCTTCGCCAACACAATCGCCGACTTGTTATCAACATAGATATCTGTAGAGCCACCTTCTCCAAACTGAATTTCTTTGAGCAAACCCCGAAGCCATATTGAGTGACAAACACAAGATGTTGCAGCAACATACTCTGCCTCACAAGTTGATAACGTCACTATCGGTTGTTTCTTCGATAACCAAGTAAACGCCGTTGGTCCATAGAAGAAAACAAAACCCGTCGTGCTCTTCCTGTCATCGGGATCTCCAGCCCAATCACTGTCACTGTAACCTCTCAATTCTGTTTCTCCGGATGATGGATAGAACATCCCCAAACTCAAGGTACCTTTAATATATCGAAGAATCCTCTTTGCAACCTTCAAATGATAAGATGTAGGACTCTCCATATGACGACTAACTATGCCAACCGCAAACAGAATATCCGGTCTTGTGCATGTCAAGTACCGCAAGCTTCCAACCAAACTCTTGAATACAGTAGGATCAACTGCTTCTCCATCACAATACTTAGATAATTTCTCTCCAACCTCCATAGGAGTACTTATTGGTTTGCAATTCTGCATGTCAAACTTCTTCAAGACTTGTTTAGAATACTGCTCCTGAGAAACAAATATACCTTCATCTTCTTGTTTGACTTCAATCCCCAGATAATATGACATCAACCCGATGTCAGTCATCTCGAACTCTCTAGTCATCGCCTTTTTGAACTCTTCAAACATCCGGGGATTATTGCCTGTAAATATCAAATCATCGACATAGAGACAAACGATCAAGACATCGTTGTTATGTACCTTGGTGTAGATGGCGTACTCGTGAGGACATTTCTTGAAACCATTTTGCTGGAAGTAGTGATCAATCCGACTGTTCCATGCCCTTGGCGCCTGCTTTAAACCATACAAGGCTTTCTTCAGTTTCAGAACATGATCCTCACGGCCATGAACAACATATCCCTCGGGTTGCTCAATATAAACATCCTCTTCAAGAACTCCATTCAAAAATGCTGATTTTACATCCATTTGGTAGATTTTCCATTGATTTTGAGCCGCAAGTGAGATGAGCAACCTTATAGTTTCAAGACGCGCAACTGGAGCAAACACTTCATCGTAATCAATTCCGGCACGTTGTTTGTATCCTTTGGCAACGAGTCTAGCCTTGTACCTTTCAACCTCTCCTTTT